CCTCAGAGAAGTCTTCCTTGATCACCCCATCTAAGAAAGTACCACTGTCACTCTCTGTCTCCCTACCCTACTTTATTGCCTTCATAATAGTTTTCATGACTGGACATCCCATTGCATATTTATTTGCTTATCTGTTTATCGTCTGTGTCTGCCATGAGAACATAAGCTTAGTGAGGACAGAGATCCTGTATGCTTTCTTCACCACTGTGTTTCCAGCACTTTAACTGGTTCTGGCATGTGGCCAATGCTCAATGACTATTTCCTGAGTGAACAAAGGAATAGTCTTTAGAGAAGTGAGAAAGCATGATATTTGGCTGTTTTTTTTTTTTCATACAAAGTCTTGCTCTGCCACCCAGGCTGGAGTGCAGTGGTGTGATCATGGCCCACTGCAGCCTTGACTTACCATACTCAAGCAATCCTACCACCCCAGCCTCCCAAAGTGCTAGGATTATAGGCATGAGCCACTGTGCCTGGCTGCCTGTATCTTTAAAAATTATGAGGTTCTGATTTTCTTTGGATTACCGATACTGTATATTATTTTATGCTTTAGGTTTTGTTGAAACCAAGGTAGCTGAATTTAACAAACTATCACTATTCCCAGAAATAATAAAGCCTGAACAATTCTTATTTACTACTACATTACTGATAGGATATTGAATCCTTATTTGTATATTTATTTTCATATAATGGTCTTGAGATACAAATAGCATCATTAAAGAAAATACATTTGAAAATAACATTTTTGAAAGGAAGAAAAGTCACTCCCATCACCCTAACATACCCACATGCAGACGTTGTATGCAATAATTAGGGTGTACATAAGAGTTTTTTGGTGTGACATATAAATATTTTCAATGCTGTCTCACTCCATGTTAACATTAGGCATTAATTTCTAATGTCTACAGAATATTTCATTAATTTGTCATATCATAATTTACTTAACTAATTCCCAATTGTTAGACAATTTGGTTTTGATTTTTCCCCTTTTATTTATTTATTAATTTTTTGAGACGGAGTTTTACTCTATCACCCAGGCTGTAGTGCAGTGGCTTGATCTTGGCTCACTGCAACCTTCACCTCCCAGGTTCAAGCAATTCTCCTGCCTCAGCCTCCTCAGTAGCTGGGATTACAGGCATGTACCACCACGCCCAGCTAATTTTTATATTTTTAGTAGAGACGGACTTTCACCACGTTGGCCAGGCTGGTCTCAAACTCCTGACCTCAAGTGATCTCCCTACCTCAGCCTCCCAAAGTGCTGGGATTATAGTTCTGAGCCACTTCGCCCAGAGTTTCGCCCTTTTAGATATAATACTTCAATAGTGAAGCATGGGTATGCTTTTCTGGTGCCCCCTACCCTCCAATATTTTAGAAGACTGCCTCATGATAAATTTCTAGCAGTGCAATAACCGGTTCATAAGAAGTGTGTAGAATTACAATATTCTAGCATACTGGGAAACATATTTTCTTTCCAAAAGCATTATATCAATAGAACAATGTCATAGCAACCTTATCAGTGTGGGTGGTACTATTAATAATTCTGAGGGTTTAATAGGCATCAAATAAAGCCAATTTAGTAGGTCTAAAAAACAATAAGATTTTGTTAAAATGTACATTTCTTTAACTACTATTAATGTTTTTCCTATATACTTGTGAATGATTTATATTTCTGTCTTTAATGGTCTGTGCTTTTTAAACTATTAAGGGCCTGAGAATTTTCTCTCACATTTGAATGAACACTTTCATGGTATATGTAAATATTTTCCTACTGTATTGTTCTTTTTAGTTTTTCATAGTTAAAAAAAATTTTTAATCTTCATCTGGCTGAATTCATCAATATTTTCTTTGTACACTGTCCTTTCTTTAGACATTGATGTATATGACATGTTAACTGCTCAATGATAGTAGACAATGATTATCATCATAATAAAAATCATTTCAGAGGGCCTCATCATACTTGTGAAACATGGGGTTTAGGAAGGAGCATAATGAAGTGGATACCTCCTTAGAGTGTAATCTATGAGTATGGACTGGCAAGAGGGAAAGAGGAAGAAGAGAGAGGGGCAGTTTCCTTCCTCTCTCAAGGCATGACAGCATGTCTCAGAGCACAATGCACACTTAACATGTAGGCAGAAAATGGCTTTCTTAGGCAATCTTTCAAATGAAATCCCCCTGGCTGGTGGTATTCATGTGCTTTGCCAGTGATGCTTATAAAATGATTCCAAGGCACCACAGAGCTCTCAAATCTCTCCCAACTATCAAAGGGTTATGCTTGGTTTATGTTTCAATATTAAGTTACACTATGCTCTGAGCTACTTGCAGGCATTTGTAACCCTAGGTTCTGGAACCTATAAGATGCAGACACAAATGTTTGCTAAATGAATATTTGAAAAAAATTATTTTAACAATTTTTGAATATTTTTGCACTTGTTTGGAAATGAATGGAGTGGAAAGAAATAGGGTGTTTGCATTCTAATCCAGATCCAGGCACCAAAGGGTTACCTAATCTTAGATAACTTATTTTTTTTGTGGGCCTCACTTTCCTCATTTGTTAAAGAGAGGGCATTAGGCTAGATGATCTCAGAGGTACTTTTCAGTGAGGATTTTATGATTATAGATGATAAATTAAATAAAATGTCCAGTTAATTGGGTTATCCTACATTTTTAAAACTATGTCCAATCACAAAGAGAGTAGATTATAAAAGAAACCATCAACCTTTTCATAGCTTCAAAGGTATTGGTTTAATTTGGATTTACTGTGAGTTCTCATGAGTTTCAATACAATGCAGTTTACTGTATAATAGAATTCATATTACAAATATAAGTGCATTGAAATCAATGGACAATTAAACAAGAACGAGAACAACAAAATACTTTTTATCCTCTAGAGCTGTGCTTGCTGTCCACTATGGTAGTGAAATGTGGCTAGTCTGAATTAAAATGTGCTGTAAGTACTAAATACTCATGAGATTTTGAAGGTTTGTTATAAAAAAAAAAGAATATCTCATTAGTGATTTGACATTGATTACATATTGAAATCATCACTAAATATATCTTAAAAATTAATTTTTCCGATTTTTATACTTTTTAAAATGTGGCTACCAAAAATTAAAGTTACAGATGTAGGTCACACTGTGTTTCTGTTACACAATGCTTCCTTTAGAGGGACAGAAGGGGTAGAAGATTAACTACTTGCATTATTTAAATGAAAATATTTTTGCTTTTTATTCTAGCATAATCTCCAGTGATTTTTTAAAATGTTAAAATTTATTCTCTCAGGAAAATGGCTTTGTAAAGAAGCTTGAGCCTAAATCTGGCTGGATGACTTTTCTAGAAGTTACAGGAAAGATCTGTGAAATGCTATCTCTTCTGAAGCAATACTGTTGACCAGAAAGGACACTCCATATTGTGAAACCGGCCTAATTTTTCTGACTCTTAAGAAAACGATTGCCAACACATACTTCTACTTTTAAATAAACAACTTTGATGATGTAACTTGACCCTCTAGAGTTACAGAAATTTTATCCCTATTTAATAAATAAATTGTATGTAATTTTCTCTATATGCCATTTTTGTCTTCATTTTTGGAGTCTGCCTGGAAATTCAGCCAAAGGGTAAAGCTCAACACAGGAGCCAGGCAATTAATTATGGGATGATGATTAGGAAGGGGGTATCTTTTCTGCAGACTTTTAAGGTGTGCCCATTACCCAAAAGTCCTCCGTGTCACTAGGCTAGACTGCAGACTAGACTGAGAAGCAGACTCAGGCTAGAAGCAGACTCAGGTCGCCTTCCCTCTTCCCTCCTTCCTTCCTTCTTTCCCGTGCTGTCTGCAGTTTCCAGTGCCCCTGGCTGCTTAGAGTTTCCACTGATGCCTCCTCCCCAGCCTTCTCTCTCTGGCTTGCCATTTGGGGTTGATGGATATGGCAACCTGATATGCAGGATACTCTGCGATATTCTGAACAAAGAAAATTAGGTAAGTGATTCAACGTGGAGCTAATGCTAATTTTTTTTTTTTTTTTTTGTAAAAATGAACAGATTAGAAAATTATGTAGTTTGTTAGACCTCGTGTTCTAATTTTTAGGTCAGCAAATCTGATTGCAATATGTATACACTATATCTGCCTGGCCTTCCCTTCTTCTTACAACACAATCCCCCTGGGACTTGCATTACCTTTCCCCGGAAGCTGTTGATAGATTCCATAAAGAAGCCAGATCTCCCCTCTCAAGCCATGTGCATTCTCGTCGGGCACTTTTATGCTTTACTTAGGAGGTGTGATTCTTAACGGTGGGGATTAGGACACTGGGGCTGTCAGTAGGGAAGTAGTTTTGGAAGAGGCAGCTCTGGTTTTAGGAAGTCACATCTGAGAGGCAATCTGAGGCGCCTGTCTACTGGGAGCAGTTCAAGACTTCACAGTTTCTTTTACCTCTTCCTGCAAGTGCCTCACCCACCCCCCAAACTGCTTTCAGTTGTAATTCATTTTTGTGTTTTAATCAGAGCTGAGTGGTGGGAATGAACAGTCACTGATGGTTATAACAGGAAGTACCTATATGGGCACTATGACCTGGAATACATTCACACTAGAATCCACAAAATTTGGCTTTTACACTACAGTTACTGCTTTAACAATATTCCCGACTATGTATCATCTATACATTCATCACGTAAGGACATTTCCATCAACCACTGTGGTCTCTTAAGATTATAATGGAGCTGAAAAATTCCTAATACCTACTGATGTGGTAGCCAACCAACACATTACCTTTTCTGTGTTTAGATGCACAAGTATCATGGTGCTACAATTGCCTACAGTATTTGGTACAAAATACGCTGTACAGGTGTGTAGCATAGGTGTGTAGTAACTTTGTAACTACACTCTTTATGTTTGCACCAGAAGGAAATCGGCGCATCTGTCAGACATATCCCTGGAGTTAAGCGACTCGTGACGATTTCGCTACTTGTCCTGCCTTGCCCTTCTTTTCTGGCCCCTGAAGTCCCAGTACTCAACAGTACAAGAGATGCCAGGCACCGTGGGTACTGCCGGCCGTCTTTACCATCCCCGCCAGTGGCGCTGCCGCCTCCGCGGTCCGGGTGAGGGCTCGGGCTCAGGGAGGTCAGGCGGCAGGGCAGCGACGGCGCTTCGCCACAGCTCCCGGTAGCCGGGGAGGGCGGGCCGGACCACCGACGGCCGCACGAGGGCTGGCTCCCAATGGCCGGAGGCCAGGCAAGCGCGCGGCACGCCGAGGGCCCGCGTCCCGGAAGCGGGGTGGGGGCGCTTCCCCGAGTCCCAACCCGCCCCTAGGCCGCGGATCCACCTGGGAGCGGCCAGGGGCGGAGACCAAACCCCAGGGCGCCGAGAGTGGGATTGGACTGGGCTTGGGCGTGAGATGGCGGCGGCGGCAGCGGTGAGCAGCGCCAAGCGGAGCCTGCGAGGAGAGCTGAAGCAGCGTCTGCGGGCGATGAGCGCCGAGGAGAGGCTACGTCAGTCCCGCGTACTGACCCAGAAGGTGCGAGGCCGCCTGTAGCGGAAGCCGCGGCGGACAGACTCTCTGAACGCCTGGCGGCCAGCGATTGCTGATCCGTGCATGGTCAGTGCAGGCGCAGGGCTAGGCCCTCCCGGCACGCGCACGTTTCCCCTCCAGGCGCGCGCACGTTTCCCCTCCCGGCGTCCGCGCGCCCGTCCCCTGGTCGTAGTCTGGCTGTTCTTCGCACTGTGACGGAGAGAGGACCCGGTAGTGAAAGTTGTGGGGCTAAAGAGCGAGAGGACGGCAGGGGTTGACAGATTTATCTCTGGGAGGGGAGTTCGTTTGCATGGGTGGCACCTTTGGTGCTCGAAAACTCCTTCGTGGGGATGACGGTACTGTGGTGAGAGCAGGGTGAGAACAGAAAGTTGTGGTAGAGGAGATGGGTGAACTCTTGAGTGCCCAGGTTCCCTCAGTGAGTCCTAAAGTTAATGAGCTACGAGTCAGACTCCAGTTACTTTAGTAAAATGGCCAGAGAAAGATGCAGGTGCTTCAGACAAGGGAACATCAAAAAAAGTGTGGAGATGCCAAAGGTCAGAACTCAGATGTTGACTGCACTTCACTAAGCATATGGAGGGCTAAGGCTGTGTCTCAGTAGCTCCAGGGCCTAGGCCTTTCCTGTCTCAGAGTTGGTCAACATTAAATGCTTTTTCTTGAGTGAATGAAAGGAAGACGTGGCTGTCATACCCAGGCTTCCCCAGAACATAGGAAACAGAAGAGAGAAATGAGAGGAATAAGTGAGAGTCCCTGTTTGTTGGTTAGCAGACCTCTGTTTTATTACTTTCACCGACTGCACTGCTATGTATTTTTAGTCTGTCTATGTAATGTCAGTTTTCTTATCAATAAAATGGGAGTCATATCCTGTCTTGAAGGCATGTTCTAAAGAGTTTTTGGGGACTCATTTTTGTTAGACACCAGAGGAAGAAAAATTTAATGTCCCCTGAATAAGTACGTATGTGTAATTCTGTTGTAAGTCAAACTGATGATCTGTCTTCCCAGCATCATGCCTCAGAGACACCAGTGGATATTTGGAGACTTCATGTTCCTTGGAATTAGTTATACCATCAGGCTTTCTTAATTACCCCTCACTATTCTATTATCCGTTATTTGCTCAAATTCAAGGTGCCAATGGGTTAAAGCAGTAAATCAAATATACTTATTTCACCCCTCTCTTCATCTATGTAGGTGTGCATGAGGGAATCTATACAGATGTTAATTCGGTCGTTCAAACAATTATTTTAGCTATTATGAGGAAGCATTGCTGGGTGTTTTAGTATATGTAAAGGATATAGACTCTTGTCTATATCTAGTTGTTTAAAATTTAGCTAATTCATTCACATATGTTGAACACCTAAGTAGTGCACACTTGGCTATGTACTGGGTTGTGGACATGAAAAAGATGATTGTTGCTCTAAAGGAGCAGATAGCCTCAAAGAGGAAACAGACATGAATAAAGAATTGCATTGAAGCCAGATATATGATAAAGGTAAACACCAATATTGTGGAAATGTAGCCTTGGGGAGGGGGAATTGGAAAGCTTTCTATTGCAAAATGTTGAGATGAATTTTGGAGAACAAGATGAATTTTTTCAGGTGAAGGGAAAGATGGGATAGGGGAGTGTGAGTAGGGATATTTAGGCAAGAGATGACAGGATACAGTTTAGCATGGGCGTTGGAACTACACAGATCTGGGTTTAATCTGGCGCCACTGTCTTTTAACTGTATATCCTTGGACAGGTCTCATAATCTCTCAGAACCCTTGGTTCCTTGTCTATAAAATGGATAATATCACTCTTGTAGGTCGATTGTGAGAGTTAAAGAAGTGTGTAAAGGGATGTATTCAGTGCTTTACCTATTTTTTGATATGTCCTTTAGGAAGGGTATACTGGCAGCATTTGGGTAATGGGTTGAGGAATGAAGAAAGAAAAAAAAATGGAGACCAGTAAGGGGCTGTTGTGCCAATTCAAGTGAAAGATGAAAGATATGCAAACCAGAGCATGGGCAGTGAAGATAGGGGGAAAGGAGGCAAATGGGAGACTGTTAAGTGGAAACAGCAGTACTTGGCAACTGATTGGAAGAGGTTAGAGAATACTGGAAGGGGAGGAGAGTCACCTATGATTCCAAAATTTAGAGCTGGGTATAATGGTGTTTAACCTTGGGCATAAAGAATGTAGGAAGTGGAACAAATTTTGGAGGAGCATGGGGGAAATAAAGATGAATTCAGTTTCTAATCTTCTATGTTGTCTTTGTCCATAGAAGATTAGAATTCATAAACTATAGATGGGAATAGTGGCTACATAGATACAGAGTCACTGACAGCAATAGAATGACAACTGAGAGCTGGCATTAAAGGAGGAGAGAGAAAAATTAAGAAGCAGACCCATGACCCTCAGTAATAAATACATTTTACTCTGTACAAACAAATATACACATACAAGGAACATTTTACAGCTCTTACCACATACAATGAAATGTAATATTTTCTTTTTTTTCCGAGACAGAGTCTTGCTCTGTCACCCACGCTGGAGTGCGGTGGCATGATCTCAGCTCACTGCAACCTCCGCCACCCACGTTCAAGCGATTCTCCTGCCTCAGCCTCCCAAGTAGCTGGGATTACAGGCACGTGCCACCATGCCCAGCTAATTTTTCTATTTTTAGTAGAGACGAGGTTTCACCATGTTGGCCAGGGTGGTCTCGAACTCGACCTCATGATCTTCCCGCTTCTGGCTCTCAAAGTGCTGCGATTACAGGCGTGAGCCCCTGTGCCTGACTCGAACTTTAATATTTGCTATTCTATTTCATTTAAAAATTATAGCCTGCTATTGATTTCATGACTAACCAATGGATCATCTCTGGAAACATCAGTGTACTGTGTAGTGTTTTGCCATAGTGAATGCTCAATAAAGGTGTTAAATGATGTCTTTCATTTAGAAAAGCATATTTATTCTTATTGTCACTGTACCTTTTTATAACTTAGAAATTTGTCAGAGAAGTAATTTAAATGGTGAAGAAATTCAGCTTTATGTCATATCTTGATTCTCTAACTGATAAGATGAGGAAATTAGTGTCCCTTTACTCACTATGTTTTCTACTCCCTCTGTCAGTTTCTGACATTTATATTGTTATACTTATGTTGTCAAGTTTTGTAATTTTTTATTTTTTGAGACAGAATCTTACTCTGTCGCCCAGGCTGGAGTGCAGTGGCGCAATCTCGGCTCACTGCAACTTCTGCCTCTCGGGTTCAGGGAGTTCTGTGCCTCAGCCTCCCGAGTAGCTGGGATTACAGACGCCCGCCACCACGCTCGGCTAATTTTTGTATTTTTAGTAGAGACAGGGTTTCACCATCTTGGCCAGGCTGATGTTGAACTCCTGACCTCATCATCCACCCGCCTCAGCCTCCCGAAGTGCTGGGATTACAGGCATGAGCCACCACACCCGGCCAGGTTTTGTAATATTTAAACTTTGCTCTGTAACTATAATGAGTCTACTCAGCAGTATTTGTGACCGATTTCCAAACTTGAGATTTCAGTAAATAGTATTTACAGTAAACAGTATTTACAAAAATATGTAAAGCACTGAATACATACCTTGTATTTTTTTTTTTTTTCTTTTTTTTAGATGGACTCTCGCTCTGTCTCCAGGCTGGAGTGCAGTGGCACAATCTTGGCTTACTGCAACCTCTGCCTCCCGGGTTCAAGTGATTCTCTTGGCTCAGCCTCCCGAGTAGCTGGGACTACAGGCATGCACCACTACGCCCAGCTAATTTTTGTATTTTTAGTAGAGACAGGGTTTCATCATGTTGGCCAGGATGGTCTTAACCTCTTGACCTCGTGATCCACCCACCTTGGCCTCCCAAAGTGCCAGGATTACAGGTATGAGCCACCGCGCCCAGCTGTATTTTTGTTCTATAGATGGTATTCATCGCAGAACCAAGTTGTATGATTGAATATGTAAGAAAAGACATGACTTTATGTCACTAGATATGTGTAACTAGGAAGGTAATGCTTCAAGTGTTAGTACCAAAGCTTTTCTCTTTTCCTCCATAATTGCTCAAAATCATTTTCTGTTTTACTTTGTTCCCATTTGGAGCGTATTTCTAATTTAGTTCTGTATTTTTCCAGGAGCTTCTGATTGCCTTTATTTTTCTTTTTTTGACAAATCAAGAATATCTGTTTGTCTTATCAATATATTCTTTTTCATCGTCTGTTAAAATAAATCCACTCTCTTTTTGAAAACACTCCAGCCCCTTGCTTCTTCTGGTCTGGTTGCCTTCGGCCCATTGCACTGCCATTGCCCTGGGGTTCCTCCTTACTCTACTTCTGAGTTAGGGCCGCTTTTTGAGTCTAGTATCTTTGTCTCTCTTGGATTCTTTTCCTTTCATCTTATTAGAGTATATCTTCAGATAATTTTTTTTGAGAAAGTATCTATGGAGGTGGTAAACTTTTAAATATATGTTAGGAAATGTTTTACCCTCATACTAGATTGATAGTTTGAATTTCAAAATTAAAATTATTTTCCTTGTTCTGCTCAGCACCCATGGCCCCCATTCAATATGGAGACTAGTGTTTTTCTTTTACTTTTTTTTTTTTTTTGAGATAGAGTTTTGCTTTTGTTGCCCAGGCTTGAGTGTTATGGCGTGATCTTGGCTCAATTTCTGCCTCCTGGGTTCAAGGGATTCTTCTGCCTCAGCCTCTCAAGTATCTGGGACTACAGGCATGCGCCACGACGCCCGGCTAATTTTGTATTTTTAGTAGAGACAGGGTTTTACCATGTTGGTCAGGCTGGCCTCGAACTCCCAACCTCAGATGATCTACCCGCCTCCACCTCCAAAAGTGCTGGGATTACAGGTGTGAGCCAAGTATATCTTCTTTGATTATTTCTTTTTCCTTTGTGCCTTTTTGGAACTCTTGTTAATCAGATAATAAAAATCATAGATTGATCTTCTGTATTTCTTAACATTTTTTTCATTTTTCCTATTTTTGTCTTTTCCCCTACTCCGAAGGCTGTCTCCTAAGTTGTTTTAATTTTGCTAATCACAATTTTAGTTTCCATTGATTATTTCATGATTCCCTGATTGCTTCCTCCCCAGCAGTCTATTGTTATTTTAGAAATGCAATTATCTTCTTGAGTTTGTCTGAGAAAACTAATTTGAATTTCAAAAAATTATCTGTCCTCTTTGTCCGTTTTTTCTCCCCTTCCTGTTTTTTTTTTTTCCATCCTTCTATTTTGTATTTTGACTTTTCAAAATGTTTCATGATCCTTTATTGTCTGTACATATTTGTGAATGAAGGTGTCTTAGCTAATGGGGATTTCCTCTGCCTTTTATAGTTGCTTTGGGATTTCAAGGGAGGAATGGATTCTGCCTGACCTGCACCCTTATTCTCTGAGTGTTGTGATCTGCTGCTGTTTTGTCAGCAAAATACTGTCCCATTCACTCTTTGTCTTACAGAAATTAGGTCTCTGTTCCCTTGTTCTCAGTACTCTAATGGATTTTCTTTTTTGTGCTTCTTTACCGTCACATTAATGGGATTTGAGGAAGGAAGATAAATATGTATGCACAGTCTCACACTGAATGTTAACTGATGTTTATTACTGCTTATTCAACTCTTGATCTTCTATATTCTGCTGTAAAGAGAGCAAAAAGGATACTTAACTTTCTCATATAGTAGTTGGATGCCCAAAGCCCCAGGCCTGCCCAGGTCTAGGTTTCACATTTCCTTTCTTTGCCCATTTCAGGCCTCAAAACAATTTTGTAAATTTTCAGAATGTGAGAGTTAACTTTCTTTCTTAGACTGGTTTGATGTGCTCTATCTACTTGATTTCTGTGTTTCCTTTTTTATTAGTAATAACTTGACTTTCTATTCCTGTATCTTTTTGCTAGTCATATTTTTAAGCTACTTCTATGGCTTACAATTATATAATAATAACAAAAGTATTAAAAAGTCTGATAAAGAATAAGAAAAGTATTCTTTTCTTTTTAGTTTGGCAAACAGGGAAGAACAGAAAAGGAAGGGAAAAAAAAGAGAGCTGGCCAGGTGCAGTGGCTCACACCTGTAATCCCAGCACTTTGGGAGGTCCAGGTGGGTGGATCAGTTGAGCTCAGGAGTTTGAGACCAGCCTGAGCAACATGGTGAAACCCTGTCTCCACAAAAAAATACGAAAAATCAGCCAGACATAGTGGTTGCACCTGTGGTCCCAGCTACTCTGGAGGCTGAGGCAGGAGGATTGCCTGAGCCTAAGAGGCAGAGGTTGCAGATTGTGCCACTGCACTCCAGCCTGGGGAACGGAGGGAGACCCTGTCTATATATTTTAAAAAAAAAAAAAAAAAAGAAAAGGAAAAGGGAGAGTGGAGGACTAACTTCTGAGTCTGGATAAGTTCCTGAGATTGTTGACATTTCTATGATGAGCAAAGCTCAGTTCCCTTCTCTTGCCTGATGGATGATTCAATTGAAAATGATTTCTTTCGTCAGGATCTGCTCCCACCGCATAATTGTGAATATTTTGATATTCATTTCAGCAGATGAATTTTAGGAAATGGGATGGGGATGGCAGAGCTAAGAGAGAATTATAAGGCATGTTCTCTGCCTCAGAGAGCTCAGTTCATGGACCGGTTAGAGATACCACATTTAGGGCACATGAAACAATTAGTGATCCACTCATGACAATACATTATTGTTATATATTAACTCTAAATGTAGTAAGGGTTCGGCAGAAGTAGGAAAAGTTAGGGCTTGCGGTGGACTTTAAATGGGTAGAATTTGGGAAGAGAGAGAAGCCTGACAATCCAAGGAGTGGAGAAGCTTGTGAGAGCCAAGATTCAGAGATAAAATAAAGCAGACTCTAGGGAAAGCATGTGAAATGACCGAAGACTACTAAAATGGGTAGGTGGGGATCAAGCCTGGAATTCTGTAGATAAACAGCTTGTCTCCACAGTGACCTTTTAATGGGTTTTCACACCTACCAGAGTGGGTGTACCAGGAAGGGATAAAAGGAGCAGGTAAGTGCTGAGTCCCAATCTAAAAGTCAGGCTTCAGGATGCAACACTGTCTGACCCACTATATCACTCTGCCCCGTCCCCCCTTTTTTTCTTTTTAATATTTAAAGAAATTGGACAAGGCTGAGAGAGAAAGGAAGAACTGTTAAGGGGAGTTACTAAATAATAGTCTTGGAAAATATAATTGCCATAATTTCCCATTTAGGTGATTGCCCACAGTGAGTATCAAAAGTCCAAAAGAGTTTCCATCTTTCTGAGCATGCAAGATGAAATTGAGACAGAAGAGATTATCAAGGACATTTTCCAACGAGGCAAAGTCTGTTTCATCCCTCGGTATCAGTTCCAGAGCAATCACATGGATATGGTGAGACTAGAATCACCAGAGGAAATTTCTTTACTTCCCAAAACATCCTGGAATATCCCTCAGCCTGGTGAGGGTGATGTTCGGGAGGAGGCCTTGTCCACAGGTGAGTATTATGGTGTTAGGTTGTTATTAGGTTATGACCAGTTGTTAGATCTCAGATCCACCTGTTATGTGTGGGTCAGTGGGAGTTGCTTTTCCTGTAGGGATTAATTTGTATTTTGCCTACATTCCATGACACCTGTATTACTTGGTTTAGGATGTGATGCCTTTTGAAAACTGTGAAGTGTAAACAAATAATATTGTTGACTTCTCACATATTGTTGCCCTACCTTGTGGGCTGAATTATGTATTTTTCCTGAATCATTATTTCCTGTGGTTTCAGTTATGGTCTGCTTGCTAATGAGCATATTATTATTAATGCTAATTAGCACTTATATCTCCAGTTCAGACCTGAAAACTATTTTCTGGACATCTCTACTTGGATGTCACATGTGGATCTCAAACATGAGATGTTCCAAACTGAGTCATGGTCCCCTCAGCCTTGACTACCTACCATGTGTTTATCTCAGTACATGGCACCACCAGCTACCCAGCTGGTCATTCCAGAAGTCTCCAGGTCATCCTTGACTCCCCTCTTTCTCTCATGCCCCACATGTGGTCTATTGCTAAGTCCTGATGATTTTACTTACTGCATATTTAGTGAATCTGTCCATTTCTCTCTAACCCACTGCTACTACTGCAGTCTAAGCTGACATATCCTCCTGCCTGCATTCCTGGAAAGGCCTTTTAACTGTTCTTTCTCTCCATGTCTTGTATCTTCTCTTTCCTCTTTATTGGTTATTTAAAAATAATTGAAACAAGATTTTGAAAACACAAATCTGCCACTTCTCTCCCCTCCTTAAAGTCTTTCTGTGACTTACTGTTGCCCTTAGGTTGAGTAAACACTACTTAATGAGGTTCTTCCTGATCTTGGCCCTGCTGTCTTACTATTTTCACATCTTTCTACTCCCCACTTCATAGTCTGAGTTCCAGCCACTCTGAGTATCTCTGTTTCCCAACTCCACTTTGCCTTCTCTACTGCTGGGTCTTAATACATGCTGTTTTCTGGCCAACAGATGCTTGGGAAGTTTTATCATTATGAATCAGGTAAAGAGCTGAAAGCAAAATAAGCTCAGGGTATTATTTTTTAGTATAATGCCTGAAACCCATCTTAGAGATGTATATTTTTGACTGAGACTTAGATGGTTGCAAAGAAGCCCCAGCACAACTTTATGCAGTCTTTACTCAGTTTCTGCCCCTTCCAATACAATGCCATTGCCTATAAAGTCAGTATGATGGAGTGGGAGGGGAGAGGGTCAAGGACTCATAACAGTGGAGGGATTATGTACTTTGCTAGTTTAACTTTCCCTGTATTGTCTAGTCTTGGGCTTTGCTAGATGTTTAGGCACCAAAAATATATTCAGATCTACTTCCTTCATGTCCTGCATCAATAGGCCAGATGAATGTCAGCATTTTAAAACTCTTTCATATTTTCAAGGGGAAAGATTGCAAGCATTTCAACGCAATGAGATAATAAGGGAATACAGAGTATCTTGGAGAACAGTCTAGGGTTATAGATAAGAAAAGGTGGGAAATTATAACTACTGACTTTGCTCAAACTTAATGCAGCTACTCCAGACTTGCAGGCTTAATGGTGGAACCCAGGATACTGTCCCAATTCCCAAATACTGTTAACAGCTCCTTCAATGCTTGCATCATCTCTAATTGAAATTTTACTTGGTTTCCTCCAGTAACCAATTCCTTTAGAGGCAGCTCATTCCTTTTAGAACAGCTCTGCTCCTTCTAGAACATCTTCCTTGGGTTGAGCTAAAGTGTATCACTTTGAACTTCTGTGCATTTGTTCTAGTTCTATTCAAGTACAGCGGTGAAAAGAGTAAGGAAGAAGCATTATTTTTCCTTTTAACTTATTTGCACTTCCTGATTAGGATAATCTCAATCCAAATAAGTGAGTCAATCATTTATGTATGATTTTTTTTTTTGAGACAGAGTTTTGCTCTGTCACCTAGGCTGGAGTGCAATGGTGCGATCTCAGCTCACTGCAACTTCCGCCTGCTGGGTTCAAGCGATTCTCCTGCCTCAGCCTCCCAAGTAGCTAGGATTATAGGCATGTGCCACCATGGCCAGCTAATTTTGTATTTTTGATAGAGATGGGGTTTCACCATGTTGGTCAGGCTGATCTCGAACTCCTGACCTCAGATGATCCACCTGCCTTGGCCTCCCAAAGTGCTGGGATTATAGGCGTGAGCCACCACACTCGGCCTGTGTATGGTTTTTAGCACATTGTTTGGCACATAGGAGCTATCGAATAAATGGTAATATATTAATTTTAAGCAAGGAAGTCGGAATTATTCATTATAAGATAAACTCATTACTAGCCAAGTAGTTAATATTTTGGTAATTTTCAGCAGATCTTTTTACACATCTACTTTGTGTCGGATACTATTTTAGGTCTGGAAAGATAAGGCCCTGATTTGAAGGGACTCACACTGTAGCTGGTGAGACAGAAAATGAACATAAACAGAATATCCTAACCTATAGTATATGTCAAATATAAGTGTCAAATGAAAAGATACTGAATATTAAAAATAGAAATTTAGAATATGGTTCTGAATAGAAAAAAGTCCACCAAAAATACCCCACAACTGGTTGTTCATTTTTTTTTTTCTCCTTTATAGCATTTATGCATGCTGTATTTGTAGTAGCAGTGACTTGTTTTCCCCCATGCATTTTTCTTTGCAGATACTTGCAATCTGGGTTGCAGAGGGATAGAGGATTATACCCACAGTTTCTTGAAACTGCAGTCTGGGGTCAAAGCTTGCTGCTGTTGTTTATAGAAATGTTTGAGTAGGCAGCCTCGGCTGTTTGTTGTCTCCTAACATCACCCTCTGTAATGTGGATGTCTACTTGCATCAGCAACTTAAAATGTGGCAACTTCAGTGCTTAAGCATAAATCTAGCTTTACAATGTTTGGGACTAGCTGATCAGAGCTCAGACTGTCCTTGGTGTAGCTTTCGTGGTCTGTTTATCTTTCTTGTTTGCTCACATTATCAGAGCTTAGAAAAGAGTAAGCTTTTGTGTCCTCAGTTGCAATGATAAGTTCCTAAGCAAAAATTTCCCATGGGCTATTATTCTTGTATTATATATGTAGCAAAAGAAATAGATTGCTAAATGAAATAGAGGGTTGGATTCTTTCCCAAGTTTATCTTCAAGGTAAAGGCTACTTGGGCAATTAGATTAGGGCAGGAATTTTTCCAGTGCAAGTATATAGTCTGATTCAACCTGGCTTAAGCAAAAATGAGATTTTATTGGCCCAGAGACTGAAAAGTTCACAGAAGGGCTGGCTGGATCAGTGGCATTAGGATCCAGTCTATCTCTGCCTTTTGGCTTTGCTTCCATCTATATCAGTTTCATTTACTGGTGCCACATGGTGGCCCATAGCAGCTCTAGGTTCCATGGCATCCTTACTGTTAGCAATAAAGAACAAGTTTGTTTTCTAACAGTCTGATAAAGTCCTGGTCCTAACTCTTCTTGACCCAAATGGGCATCTTGAAATTAATCACTATGGCCAGAGATATGAAATTGGCTGACTGGCTTAGGCCTGGGTCTTACATGCCTGTCCTTGACCCATTCTTTGTGACCAGGAAGAAAAGAAGTGCCAATTGACTTAGACTAGGTCATATGCCCAGCTCGGCAGCCCTACCCAAACCACTGAGCTGAGAGTAGGGTGAGAGTGTTTGTTGTGTTTCCAGAACAAGGGGGAATGGATACTGGGGAGTCAAAACTAAACTCACCTCTGCTATCAATCATTTCTGAAATTCTGCAGAGTATAATAGGCTCTTTGCAGTCATAGCTTTGCCAGTGCTGATTTTTAACTTACGATCTTCTTGGAGGCTTTTGGGAATTAATATCTATGTGTAGGTACCTGAGCCATAACTTAATAATCATAATGAAGACTTTCTAGTCCTCAAATAAAACATTTTAAAGTAATCGAGTGAGGCATCATCAAGGACAGAGTCTTTGAACTACCCTTCTAGGTTGTTCATGATCAGTACTTTTGGGAGGGTTATGATTGGTTCACTGTGAGTAGCTCACATTGACTTCATTTCTTTCTTTCTTAGGATTGCATGGCATCTGCAAGAATATAATAAAAGATAGTGGGTATGGATTTCATCAAGGCATATTTGATGGAGTCATGATATCCTCGGGATGCTGGAGAAATTTGTATTGGCTCATAATTATTTAGAAAAGATGTGTAGAGCACTGCTCTGTGGGAGGTGTGATGGGGACATAGCAGGGAACAGCATGGACTTGGTTCCCAGTGTTCTGGGGTTAACTAGCCTGTTCTCACAGAAGCAGGTTTGTGCTGGCATGTCACAGGCTCTCTCCTTTTTGCTGTCCTGTTCAACTTTTTGTTGAACTTTTAGCTTTTTCAGCTTTCATTGAACACTTAGATGTCTCACTGTTCCTTATTTTCAGCATGTCGAAATTCATTCTTATTCTTTTTATGTTTTTCATATTTCTGTTAGCAGCCCCTTTGTAGACCTGGAATTATCCTTGCCTCCTTCCCACCATCCAGTTATTACCAGATTTTTCTTTGTAATGTTTTTATCACCTGTCTTTCTCTAATTCCAGTTTTGGGAGAATTCTTTGTCTACAATTTTCATTCTTCGTATCTGTTCCATTGGAGTAAACTTTAAATTGGTTTCCTGGCCATATTAACTTTTCCAAAGTACCTTTCTGTACGGGTCATCTACCCTATTCAGGCCTTCTCTGTATGCTGAATAGATCTGTGTACCTGAGCAAACAATGGTTCCTGCTGGTTGTTGCCAAAAGAAGGGACATTGGATGAAATCCAAACATTCAGGCCACTTTCTGGGCCTTACCTGCCTTTCTGCCTTAATACTTGTGCCTCCTTGGTACAGTTCCTTATTTCAGCCAAAGTGGTCTGCTGGAAGACAGTATTTCCTAGTAATGGAAAATATGGATTTCAGAATCAGACCAACCTGGATTTGGATTCTAGTTTTGCTCCTTTCTAATTGTGTT